TTACAATTATATTACAACCTACGGGGGCATTCTGTTAGTTCGCTAGTTATTGTGACTCCTTGGTAACTTACAGGTCTTACTTTGATGAGACTTGTAAATATTTGTGAAATGGAAACAATACTCATGAATTTGCTCGGCTTGATTCTGTAGGTCTTAACAGAATGACTCTGCAAGAATCAATGAGACTAACAGGATGCCCCCTCCAAGTGGAACTGCGCCATGATCAGGATGCTATCTCCGACTGAGCTTTGAAGTTTGGGAGGTTACGGTGCAACTATCGGTAATTTTCCTTGAAACTGGGGACTTCGGTTGGAAACTTTTGCTGCCATGCTTATGACGGACCCTTTACAGGCGCAGGTGGGACCTAGACCTAGTCCCATTCTTCAGTGGCATGTACTGTGCTGATTCTATCGCAACTTTTGACCTGATCTTATGTTAACTCCGCTGGTCAGGTTATCGGAAGTTCTCAGGATCTCCTGGATGGGAGCCAAATCCGTAGATGGGCAATATTTGCATGTCACACGGTGACTGATAGAGCGATGATGGTTAAGTGTTTAATTGACTGGCAGTTGTTATGCAAATTCGGCAGTGAAAGCGGCGGTCAGCCAAGGCTATCCCGTTTGGCCCGAACGTTGAACGTTCCGTTCCAAAGTTCGTCATGGCACTTCAAAATCCGACATTTTTCAATTCCCTTACGTTTTCAAGTATTCTCTTCATAGCCGTTTTCTCGCGCTTCGTTTTCTTTCTCTCTTCTCTCCAACAATCAAGGATATTTCCAGATAGAGGTAATGCGGATAGTTCTATGCCTCTACCTCGTCACATGGATATCGGCCGGTATCATCGACGACTTGCCGCATTGTTCTCGGAGTACGGTAATGGAGGGTGAAGTGAGTAATGAGTAGATGGCTCGCTCGTTAGATTACGCTAGCAATTACTGGTACAGGTGTGACAAAACGACAAGTGCTTGCAGATCCGCGAATACGATAATTTTGGACGGCCGAAGATCTACAGCGCTGTGCAACTTTCGATGGCATTGCACGAAGTGGCATGTATGACAATAAAGGTTCGTCTACTTGATTTATGAGCCCGCGACGAAATTAGCACTGTTAGTTGCCGGAATGACCCTCTATAACAGTTTCGTTCAATTAAAACAATTATTTCCACATATGAAGGAGATGTGACATGAGGTATCCATATATGTAATATTTTAGCTGTACACAAAAAGGGACATGCACTCCGAGCTAGTCGGTTCACAAAATGTTCCCCAGCGATGGGGTAGTATTGGAGGGGTTGAGGTCGCATTGGCCATGGAAAAAATGTTTTCGGCGTCGAGTTTTCTCGGTTTTCACGTTTCGTGTCTGCTATATGTAATACTTCCCCCCCCCCCCACGCTGAGCCACGTCAGTTCTTAGTTCTTTGGTGGAAAACTGGAGGTTTGTGGACAATTCTGGGGTAGTGGTAGGAAAAAATTAGAAGTCCTCACCAGAGTAAAGGACCTTGAGGAAAGAATCGTCTATTGCAAAAAAAAATTCCATAACGTGTGGGGCCCTATATTCCCTTCCTATTTATCATAAAGTGTTGAGCCTGAAATTTTTAAATACTACAGCCTTAGAGGTCCTGCCATTCAATCCAGTATGGACCGCAGCTATTGTATTCGCCCTGTCCTATCACTTGGTGCCAGGAGCGGTAACCCTATTTTCTAGAGCATAAGGCGCACTTGTGTGCAGGGCGCAATTTCGCCATTTTGTGTATTGTTGTCTGTGCCAATGATCTATTTTGGACTAAAAGGGCCAAAAACTGGTCAACTGGAAGATTATAATATGCAAAAATACTAAAAGAATGTTGCTGTGTATAGAAAATTTTTGCTTGCGCCCTTTTAAAAGAGTGCGCCCTACACCTCAGAAAATATGAAGTTGATTCTCATAGAGGGAACCTCGACCGCATTTTTCAGGTGTCCGTTGTCCAGATGGTAGTCCGCGCCCAGCCACTGCGCTTCCTACACCCACTTCCATACTCAGTTTACTCTTCACTCGTAGGCGATCCGTCCTGGGCAGAGGGTAGCGGTGGAAAATGCTATTGCGAATGTATTGCCCATAAATCGATTATCGAATCTGATTGTGAACAAAGCCCCTCATTCATCAGGGTCGGCTATTTGAACAAACTCATCTGGGAGGAAAACTCTTTGTCTACCGGACTGATCTCACTGTATGCGAAAAATGGGATTCCAAAAACCACAACAATTATGAAGGAAGCTAGATGAGGGCCACACTGGAAACGAGAGAGCTGAACTCCTATGGCTTCACTTTTTTCTATTTTCGGCCATCTGTTGAATTTTCGGAGCCCACAAATGAAACAAAACAATGCGTCATTTTCATGACAACCTAAATGCAAGGTTCGCTTCAGATGAACGACAGTGAATCATCCATTCTTCATACGTTGGAATTCTTGCGGCTCGAACAGCATCACCCCGTCTCTGGTGAGTATCGCTTCTTCTTTCTTTCAACAGAAACTTCTCTATGGCCCTTTCTCCCATCGGCACTGAAGAAGGGCCTGCAGTTGTATGTAACATTCCTTCGTAAAACTGCGAATCTTACTTAGAAGGGAAGTAGAAGGGATGAAGGATAAAGACTTGCCCTTGATCAATCCCTTTGTGGGATGCGGCACGCATTCTACTTCCATTCAGAATCGTAGTGGCTTATTGAATGCGATGTGGCCTATACAATGACTTGCGTGGCCAGCCGGATGGTAGAGGGCTTCATTGACCTGGGCGGGAGCCGATCCGGGATATGATCAACTCTCGGACCGTGTGCATGCATGGTAAGGGTGCCAAATGCCACTACACAACCTCCGCCTCACGCCACATTCACAATGTAAATTGATCGAAAAGCTAAATAAATCAGCGCTATTCGACCAAGGTGGGATATTTTGGTTACACCACCAGGTACTTGAAGATACGGCTTTTTCCATGCATGAAGTTACTAGTTCGCTGTCCCCAGAGAGTCCTTACCATATGCTTTGAGAATACGCTGCTAGCTCTGCTTGTAAGATGGCCATTGTCATGTGCGAGGTGGACAGATGTATGCCGTAGAGGTGTCCTCTTCCATTGACCGGAAGTACGCGGAAATCCGGGAGGTTGTAGCTGTGGCAGAATGCCGTTTCGGACTATCCACAACGTGCGGAACCACCTTCAATACCAAGGTTCCACAGCGAAAATGCTGGTAAGCTCCCGAATGTACGCAGCTAAAGGAAGCGAGCGAGCGTATCTGCGACGGCCTGGAAGCTTTGCCTGTGGGTCGGGACCAAGAGGCGCATGGCTGTCAGTACCCTCCAGCCTCAATTCCGCTACCTTTCAAGTGACAGAACTGGCACGCTTCTTTTGATGCGCGTTCACCCCGACATTGTAAGGATCAGGGATTTATCTTCAGCTCACAGTCGTTTCTTTACACCCTCCGGCAGCAGGTACACCACCGCCTTGATGCTAAAATGCTGATATTTCCTTTTCTGCTGTAAACCCCAGACTACCTTCGTAGTCGTCGGCTGGCTATCGACTGACTAGAGCGATCACGCAGCGTCCAGACTTCGCGATGACACGTTATGACGCGCGTAACAGCACGTCGTAGTGCGTAGTGGCGAGTGATCGCGACGTCCGAACGCTGCCGCAGAGGCTCAATAACCGCCTATTGCTTGGTTGGGTACCATCGCCAGGAAGGTGTAGCATCATTGGGCGGTTCCACCTGTCCCTCCAATCTCTGCACAGTTGCTCATTACTCCCTCCTCTTTTTCAGGAATGTACCAGTTCGGAATTCCGAAGATCACTTCCTCCTGTATTTGTGACTGTGCTGGAGGTGATGCCCCCTGTGTAAGATGAACGAATACAACGGTGAGCATTCAAGGGTTCAGGTCTCCCACTGCGTTGATGTAATACAGATCTTTTCAGGAACTGTACATCCGGTGCCCTTTGCTATCGAACCTACCACCCAATACAGTCAAATGTTGGTTGTCTTGGTGAGCAGAAAAGCGAGGCTTGTTGTCAGCTACGGATAGAGCCGTTCAAAGATTGGACTTTCACTGCGGTCAAAATTAATCAGCCATCTACAGTACTTGTTTTTAGGTAACCTTTACAGATACCGTATTCATAGGGTATAATAATACTTTCCTATAACTCTTGTTTGAAGGTACAATATCTACGACCGCTTCAACAATCGATGGCGGAAAGCTTCTGAGGAAGTGGTTGAAGTGCCAATGAATCGAGGCATCTTCAAGTTCGATTTCAATAATGTGCACAAAATCGAGATGGTCGTCTCAGGCAGTCGACCGAACAGAGGAACTCCAGCCCGGAATGTACT